GCGTAAATTAGAGTAGAGTGGAGTCGAGTAGAGTACGGCATGATTGCGCAGAAAAGAGTAGAGTAGAGCAGTGTAGAGTAGAGTAGCGCAGAGCAGATCGAGCTTCTGAGGGTAGGGTCGGATAGCGTAGAGTAGAGTATTGGAGAGGAGGGGAGAGGAGAGGAGAGGAGCGGAGAGAGAGAGAGAGAGAGCATATCGAATGGCATTCGGCTTATCCCGACACCGTGCCAGGGTTGTGGGTCTGAGGCCTCGTGGATGGTTGTTGGGATCTCGTCGAGGCCCCTCGGGGGGCGCCTGAGGGCAGTTGTGATGCCGTGGGGGGCGGGTTTGGAACAGTTGGGGATCTCGTTGGGGCCTCGTGGCGGCCTCTTGGGCCCTCGTAGGGACTCGTGGGGGCCTCTTGGGCCGTCTTGGGGGGGTCCTATTGGGCCACGTTGGTACCCTCTTGGGGGCCTCTGGGGCCGCGTTGGGGCGTCGGAAGCTCGAAAAGTGGAGAACCTACAAAAAACAATGAAACGGCTCCAGGGAAAAATGGTTGGGGCCTCTCGGGGCCCTCCTGGGAAGGCTCTTGGAGGCACCTCAGGACGTCTTGGGCGCTTGTTTGGCCGACCGAGAGCCACCTCTGGCGCCTTGGAACGATCAGTCAGCGATTCGGGGCCCTCTTTGGGGCCATCTTGGGGCACGCCTGGCCAGTCTCGGGGCCCTCTTGGACCCGACACCGTCACGCGAGAGAACACGACAAGCCCCAGAGGGCCCGCGCAAAGCCCCAGGAGATGTGTGATCTGGGGGCCTCAGGTCCCTCAGAGGATCCTCGGGACTTAAGGACTGAGACTTGAGGAATCAGGCAAAGGAACTGAGGACACTTCAACTCGTGACTCAGGGCACGGTGGCGGATTAGAGGAGAATGCTGCAGGAGGGGAGTAGGGTCAGGTGCAGGAGCAGAGTAGAGTAGACTAGAGTAGATGAGGGTAGGGTGGAGTAGAGGAGGGTGAAGTAGAACCGAGTAGAGCAGAGTAGGTAAATGGTAGAGTATAGTCGGTAGAGTAGAGTAAAGTAGAGTAAAGTAGGGTAGAGCGGAGTGTAATAGAGTAGAAGAGAGAAGAGAAGAGAAGAGAAGAGAAGAGAAGAGAAGAGAAGAGAAGAGAAGAGAAGAGAAGAGAAGAGAAGAGAAGAGAAGAGAAGAGATGAGAAGAGAAGAGAAGAGAAGAGAAGAGAAGTTTAGTGAAGTGAAGTGAAGTGAAGTGAAGTGAAGTGAAGTGAAGTGAAGTGAAGTGAAGTGAAGTGAAGTGAAGTGAAGAGAAGAGAAGAGAAGAGAGGAGAAGAGAAGAGAAGAGTAGACTAGAGTAGTGTAGAAATAGGTGGAGTAGCGCAGAATAGAGTCGAGTAGAGCAGAATAGAGTAGATTAGAGTATCATCATCCGCATCAGCATCACATCATCATCATCATCGCATGAGACAGACTGGCTGAAGGCAGTCCGCTGTCAGCGCGCCTAGTCAGACCAGTCCAGTCAGGTCCAATCCAGGCCAGACCGTACCAGTCCAGTCCATCTCAACCCAAGTGTAATGTCACGCAAGCTCAATCTGGTCCAAACAATTCCAGTCCAGTTTTTCCAAGCCAGTCCAGTCCAGCATTTCCCAGTCCAGTTCAGTCATTTCCAGTCCACGCTACGTCAGTCCACTCCAGTCCACGTCGTTTTAGTATTATGATACATTTGGCGTCTGCCCTGGTTGATATTATACATGTGAACGGACTTTCCGCCCACTTGGGGGGGGATTTTCACTCTTCACGCTGCTCCGTGGTCACCCTATCGTGACCCCTCCCTAACCTGGCCAGGACCCCAAAGACCTCGCGGCTCTCGTGGGATGTTCACGGATGAGCGCGGCCGATCTCAATCCCCATGTGTCGTTTGAGATTGCAAAATGTGTTGGGCATCCCTCCCCCCAAGAGCCCAGATCAGTTTTGATAAACAAAGGCGTTGCCAAAATATGATGTCGTTTAGTGTGCGAGTGTGTATGCGGCGTCCCACCCAAGGTGCATCAAGACAGACAGCAACAGCCCCAGACGGGACCGAGACGAGCTGCATGAGGTCTCCCCGTGGAGCACCGATTGGCACGCGACTCCTCCTCTCCGTCGCGAGACCGACCTGGATTTGGGCCCAGATTGTAAGATGAGTTTTTCAATTGCGCTTTGCACGCCAGATTCCGCATGACCCGTTCCGCCAGTGCTGCGCGTGCGCTACCAGTCAAAACAGCTTTCTAGGGACCTAAAGAGAACCACCTAGAGAGTATCATAGAGTACGCAGAGTCGTGCACAACCGTATATACACACAAGATGTTGCCGGTTCGCTTGGCTTCGTCTTTGGAAGATTGGTCGCACGGCGCCAGAGAGGCGCGCCGTGGCCGCTAGTCGCCAGCGCAGCGGTGCGCTTTGGCGATGACGCCTATGAAGCTCTGGGGCTGATGGGACTGATGGGGCGCAGTACCTTACAGAGCTCATGGGACTCTGAAGCTCCATTTGGGCCCAGGGACTCGTAAATCGAATTCGGCCATGGGAGCCACAGGACTGGCGAAACTCGTTGGGGTCATAGGGCCCCTGGGACTCGCTGGCCGAATTTTGGTTCTGGGCGTCATCACGCCGACGGGGTCGTGAGGCTCAGGCTCGCAGGGCTGCTCACATGGGCGCACGGGCGCTGAGCTCCTCACGGGCTCTCTGCAGGATGTTCGTGGCTCGTCTTGGCCAAGGTGGCCGCAAGGATCGCGGGGTTGCACGAGGCGCGAAGTTCAAGGGCCCGTGCGGTTCACGGGGCAGCAGGCCCCGCAGGGCTCACGGGGCGCAGGTTGCCCGTAGGGCCCGGGGGGGCTCACGTGGCTCGGGGGGCTCATGGGGCAATGAGCCCACGACGCTCGTGGGGGCTCAGGGGTCTCACAGGGCTCGTACCGGGTTCTGCGGCTCGTGGGGCCCATGGGACTCACGGGGCTCGGAAGGGGCCACAGGGCTCATAGGGCCAGTGGAGAGCCCGTGGGCCTCGCGGCACGGGGAGGGGGGAGCTCGGGCACAGGAAGGTCGATGAATGTGGTTCGAGGCGCCCGCGCGTTGCAACTATGCAGCAGGAGCAGGAGCAGGAGGAGGAGGAGGAGGAGGAGAAGGAGGAGGAGGAGGAGGAGGAGGAGGAGAGGAGGAGGACATGAGGCTCGTAGGGCTTATAGGGCGCATGAGGCTCAGATTGGTCGTAGGACTCGTGGAACCCGAAGGGCGCATATGGCTCACATGGCGTTATAGGGACCTTGAGGCGTATGAGACTTCAAGGGCTCGGGGTGCCAGCGGGACTCATAGGGCTCGCAGGGCGCAGGGCCCACGACGCCCATAGCGCTTATAGGGCTCACAGGGCCCATCGAACAAGCGGGACTGAGAGAACTCTCAGTGCCCATGCTCAGAGGGCCAGCGGCGCCGTGACGCCCATTGCGTCCATAGGGCTCATGGGCTCATGGGGCCCATAGGGCTCGAACGGCACATGAGGCGCATAGGGTGCATAGTTTGCATGAGCCTCTGGCGCTCCAACAAAGGAGGAGGAAGGGAACGAGCGTGGTGAGGAAGAGGAGGGAGAGGATAAGAGAAGGTAGGAAAGCGGCGGCCTCTATGACTGACTTATGTGGGTCTTTGGCGGGGCCTTTCGGGGGGCCTCCTGGAAGCGTTTATGGCCGTTGGGGGGGCTCACAACGCCTGTAGGGCCCACCTGATCATAGAGCCCGTGGGGCTCATGCCGTTCTCGAGGCTCTTAAGGAGCATAGGGCTCATGACCCTCATAGGGCCCAGGAGAAGAGGAGGAGGAAGGTGAGGAATGTGATGATGATGAGGAGGAGGAGGAGGAGGAAGAGGAGGAGGAGCAGGAGCAGGAGAAGGAGGGGAGGAGGAGGAGGAGGAGGAGGAGGAGGAAGAGGAGGAAGAAGAGGAGGAGGAGGAGAAGGAGGAGGAGGCGAAAGCCCCGGTGGCGCACGCCGCACAGCAGCAGCATCGGGCTCGTAGGCCTCATGCGGGTCATGGCGCTCATGCAAAGCCGGAGGTATAGGAGAAGAGGGTGGTGAGAAGTAGCGGGGAGAGCAGTAAGGTGGCGTATGGAAGAGGAGGGGAAAAGAAACAGTGAAAGAGGAGTGGAAGAGAAGCAAGAAGGAGCAAGGGGAAAGTGGGCAGAATGCGGCAAAGCAGATGGCGAAGAGGAGGGGGGAGCAGGGAAGGAGGGGCCAAAAGGAGAGAAGGAGGATGAGGTGAAGAGGAGGAGGAGGAGGAGGAGGAGGAGAAATAAGTAACAAAGCAGGAGGAGGAGAAGAAGGAAGTGGAGGGGGAGCGCGGGACTTTCGCCGACTCTGCACTTCCAGCATCGTTTCTCGGTGTCGGCATCCAAGGGTAATTTTCGAGTCCCGGGGGTGTCAGAAACTGCTCGTTGAGGCATGTGAGGCGCCCGTAGTTTCTCGTCCGCCCCTCTCTCTTGGAGGTAGCGGTGAAGTCTCGTGGGGGCCGTTCGGAGGCCTCTTGGGCCTGCGCTTGGTCCTCGTGGGGACCTCTCGGGGCAGCCTTCGGCCGTCTGGGACGCCTCCTGGGCCGTCCTGGGGCAGCTTGGGCGTTCTTGGGCCGTTTGGGGTCCCTATCTGGGTCCCCTTGTCTGAAAGATACGCAGGAGTAAGCTTGAGCAGCAGCTGTCTCCTGCCCGTCTGCCCTGCCCGTTCCACCGCCACCCTCGGCTCAAGGCGAGGGAGGGCGGGATTCTTTCTGACAGAGCCTGGCCGTGCCAGGCAGACCGCGCACACTACAGCGCGGCCGTTCATATCGTGGACAAAAGGTGTTCACTGACAATTATCGAGATAATTGACATCTACACACACTTTCTCTCGCTCTTCCTCATCGTCACCAGCGTGAGCGATCTTGAGGACGAGCTCTAGTAATCAGATTGGTAGCGGAGCCTGTGGTCTCCGACAACCACGGGCTCCCACCGGTCTCGGCCTGAATGGCGACTTCAGCCGCCAGCGGGCCACCTACGACGCGCGTCGACGTCCCGTCATGGAACGGCGAGGCAGACAAGTTGACGAGCTACAAGTTTGAGGTCTCCATGTTCACCAAGAGCATCAAGACTGCGGAGCGCTACGTGTGCGGCCCGCAGCTGGTGCGCGCCCTCGGGGCGCGAGTCCGGACGACGGTGGAGAGCTGCCCGGACATCGACACGGTCGACGAGATCGACAAGGATGGAGTTTTGATTGGTTGGAACAAAGTGTTTCAGTACGTATTGGAGAAGCTGGACTTCACCAGCCTGAATGATACGGGCCTCCTCGCGGAGGAGTTCTTCCTGAAGGTCAGCCGGAACTCGGGCGAGACCTTCCAGGACTGGGCCGCCAGATTCGAGAAGAAGGAGCGGGAGCTGTTGGTGCAGCTCCAAGTCATTGATTCCAGCGTGACGGAAGTGATTGCGAAGCCTCTTCGGACTTGGTGGTTCCTTCGGAAGTCCAAGCTACCCCCTGTTCAACGTGGAGAGATCACCGCCACTGCGGGTGGCGACCTCAACTTTGGCAAGACATACAAGGCGCTGCTCACGCGCTTCCCGGCGGAGGCACTGGCGGAGCTCGACGGCAAGCAGCACCGTAAGGCCTTCTATGAGGACACGCACGTCGACGACGTTGAGGACGAGACTGGTGGTGAAGATATTGATTTCACAGAGGTTGTCGAGCAGCTGATCACCCTCGCTGAAGAAGATGAAGAAGAGGAGCCAGCTGACGACAACCCAGCGGACAACGAGGTGTTCGCAGAGTTCAAGCAGGTGGGCAGGAGCTTCAAGGACGCCCGCGACCTGATCCGACGCCTTCGAGTGTCCCGCGACTACTACCCGGTCGTGTCGCTCAAGGACCCCGATCGCGTGCCCCCGCCTCCGAACCCAGGACGAGGCTTCCAGCGTGGCCGTGGCAAGAACGGTCGAGGCCGCGCTCGCTTCGACACGGGCAAGGGACGTGACATGTCCAAGATGAAGTGCATCGCGCGCGGCGAATATGGTCATCGAGCGGCGGACTGCAGCGAGAGGTTCAAGAAAGATAATACGAGGGATGGAGCTCGTGGGACTACTCACAACGGCTTCGTCCTGTCCGCCATCGACGAGTACCTCTACCTCCTGGAGCGCGACGGCATCTGTGCGATCCTCGACATCGGGGCCACGAAGAGCCTCGGCGGCCTCGAGAGCGTCGAGAACCTCATGTACGAGATGCTGGACCAGCACGGCCAGGAGTTCGAGACGACACATGACGAGTGCTCATTCACCTTCGGCGACGGCCTCCAGAAGAGCTCGATGGGCACGGTGAAGGGGAACGCGTTCCTCGGCGGCGACCTGACCGAGGTCAAGCTGTCTGTGATGCCGAACCGCGTGCCGATCCTCCTGGGCATGGACATTCTGACTGACTCGCTGAAGGTGGTGGTCGACTGCGGCCGGAACTGGATCGGCCTTCCGACCATGGGCAACAAGGTGTTCTTCTGCGAGCGCCTCTCGAGCAACCATCTGGCCGTCAACCTGACGACGCCGCAGTGGTGGAAGGAGGTGCCGCTTTCCCTGCCGAGTGCCGGGTGCCTGACGTCCGAAGCGACGGCGCCTGATGTTCTGGTCGAGGAGCTGCCCGAAGAGGCCGCTCCGTGCAGCTGCTGCCCTGCGGTACGCTAGGGACAGCGCCCCCTGATGGTGGCAGCAGAAGAGAAGTTATCTCGATTGCCAACTTCATCATCGGGGGGGCCACACCGACTCGGTCACCGCGAGTCCGAAACACCTACCAGAGCGACGGAAACCTCGGCGGCGCGGACACCTACCAGAGCGACGGAAACTGCGACACGGAGCGGATCGACTCGAGCGACAGAAACCTCGATTTCGTTCGGACGGACGGTCAGGTCATCCGACCGGCTCCCTTCATCATCACCGTCGATCGGGACATCATCACAGTCAAGAGGACCGTTAGCAAGCAAGCCTCAGGATCAAAATATGGAAAAGCAAAGCGATGAGCCAGCACAATACCATCGGTGTTCATCATCATGCTGTTCGCAGCCACCTTCGGCTCAGTTCATCAACTCGGCAATAGCCTCAACCAGCAGTCTTTCACGACCTCCATATTCTTCCCAGGCCGCCACTGGCCGCTTGGATGACATGCAGCGACGGTTCTTTGGCTGGGCAATCCTCGGAGCAACAGCCGCCACCTGTGCCTGCGGCCCGCCCCGAGTGGAGCCGCCCTCGCACGAGGGGATCGACAACTTCGGCTCCAGCGACCCCGACGCCAGCATCAGCAGCAACACCAGCTACTCCGGCGCTACCAGCGAAGTGGTACAACCCAGTGGGGGAGTGCGGCTGCTGCGGAGCTCTGGGGAAGACCAAACGCGGGTGCAGCTGCTTCGGGGGCAAGAGCCACCAGTGCCTCAAGACCCCACAGCAGGGAGCACCCGGGACACCAGCAGCGGCATCAGCAGCGGCAGCCAGCAGCGCCCCACCGAGTCCAGCGGGGGCTCGGCCAGTGACGAGACCTCCGAAGTCCGCGTGCTCCTGCTGCGGGACCCTCGGGAAGACGATTCGGGGGTGCAGCTGCCGCGGAGGCAAGAGCCACACGTGTACGAAGGCGACGGAGGTGACCATCCGGGAGCAGGCAGTGGCTCTACGCTGGCGGCGTCTGTCCAACAAGCTGAACTCCCCGGAGGTGCAGGGGGGCTGGAAGTTCACTCCGGAGATGCTCGACGACTCGGAACTGCCGGAGATGGACTCGAAGAGGAAACGCTGAGGCATCTCGACGACCAGGATCTCAAGATGTTCTACGAGAGCCACGACAAGGTCCTGGACGAGATCTACCAGACCATCGCCGAGGACCTGACGGAGCTCGGCAGGCCCTACCGCATCGACCTGATGGAGGTGTGCTGTCCGGAGGACTCGAGCCTCAGCAAGGCCGTGCAGGACCAGGGAGGCAAAGTGTTCAGGTGCGGCCTCTTCAATGGGATCGACATGGGAACGGCAACCGGGCTTCGACGCGCGCTTCACCTTCTCCGACGACTCCGACCGCGCCGCTTGGTTCTCAGCCCGCCATGTACAGCAGACTGCCCGATCCAGAATCTCAACCAGAAGACAGCTCAGCAGAAGGCCACGTATCTGGCGAAGGTGCGCAAGGCCCGACGGATCCAGCGGAACTGCAAGAGCCTCTGGGAAGACTCGAAGAAGATTCACGACTGCCACACCGAGCTCGAACAGCCAGCTTCCAGCCGAAGCTGGACCAGGTCGCCCTCGATCAAGGCGATGCGCGACTAGATGCACGAGACGATCATCCATGGCTGTGCGCATGGGCTTCGCGAAGCTCGTTCCGGCCTGCTGATGAGGAAGGCATGGCGCATATGCTCGACAGACCCGGAGTTCGGCGCTAAGCTCGGCAGGACGTGCTCCAACCGCCCTGGCAGGGGCGACAACCACACACACCGCTCCATCGAGGACGGACAGGTGGTGGCCCAGACGGCCTTTTACCCACCAGCACTGTGCAAGGCCTGGGCAAAGCATATCCTGAAGACGAACACCAGCGCGAGGTACGGCAAGGAGATCTTCACCAACTTGGAACAGATCCCAGAGGACGCTGAAGAGGAGATGGAGGAGGCCCTCGACGAGGACCTCTTGCAGGATAACCCCGAGGCCATGGACGACGAGTCGGTCATGAAGGGCCTGGGCATCTCCGAGACACCGACCAAGAAGGAGGAGCTGGAGATAGAGCAACGGCTGACGCGGCTCCACCGCAACCTCGGCCACCCGAGCAACAAGACGCTGTACAAGATCCTCAAGGCATCGGGAGCACCTCTCCAGGTCCTACGAGCAGCTCTTCGCCTCCAGTGTCACGCCTGCCACGCGGGACAACTACCAAAAGCCGTAAGGGTCGCCTCGGGCATCGAGTTGCCAGGCGTCCTAGAGGTGCTGGCCTCCGACGGGCTCGAGTGGCTCTCGCCGAAGCAGGACTCCTTCCTGATGACGTTGAACATCGACGAGGGATCCGGGCTCACCAGCGTCACCTATCATGGACAGAAGGGAGAGCGCAATGGCAACAGATCGACTCAGGAGGTGATTTCAACATGGAATGACTGGTGCGGACACTACCGCCGCCCCAGCCTTCTCCGTCTGGACCCCGAAGGTTGTCATCGTTCACAAGCAGTGGCCAGGTGGTGTTCGGACCGCGGCATCGAGTAGTGGATTGCCCCGGGCGAGGCCCACTGGCTGATGGGCAAGGTCGAGAGGCGCATCCAGCTCTTCAAGCGACTGATGACGAAGCTGGCAACGCTGGACCCCGACTGCCCGGTCGAGGAGTTGGTGTCCTGGGCCGTGAGCGCGATCAACAGCATGGACAAGGTCGGCAACCACTCCCCGTTCGAGCACGTGATGGGCGTCTCTGGGATGCCGGCCTCGAGCAACCCGTTCGCCATCATTGACGGGGACACCGGGGAGACTCAGGAGCAGAGGCGCCTCCTCGCGCGCAAAAGCTTCCTGGAAGTAGAGTATGCTGAGCGTCGTCGACACGCCGAACAGGCCCGCAACCGGGTCTATCAGACCTGGAATCCGGGGGACCTCGTCTACTTCTGGCGCAAAGGGAAAGGCCTTGACCCTCGCCCTGGGAAGAAGGGCCGATGGTACGGCCCTGCTCGTGTCCTTGCTCAGGAAAAACGACACGTGGACGGGCGCACCCGTCCTACCTCGGTCATCTGGATCTCCCACGGGAGCGTGCTCATCAGGTGCGCCCCGGAGCAGCTGCGCGTCGCCTCGGAGGCAGAGAAGATGATCGTTGAATTGCAGCGGCAGAGCAACCTTGGCAAGACCATGACGGAGATCTTGGAGACAGCCAAGGGCGGTACCTATGAAGACCTTCTCGGACAAAATCCTCCAGACCTCCGAGAATACGAGCCTCCACCGCAGCCGACGATGGAGATTCCCGCGACCGAGGGCCAGACTCTCGAGAACAACAGCGAGGCGGGACTCCCCTCAGGCGCCGACAACGACACACCCGGCGCTCCTGATTTCTCCAGGCCACCAACACCAAGCTCAGCGACGCAACCTGAAGTGGAACCGAGTGAACCAGATGTCCGACGGTCCCGGTCACCACCGGCTCGTGCAGCTGACCGGTCAGCAGCCCCATCACGAACGCCAGGGAAAGCATCTACCTCAGCGGCAGTCAGGACGGAGTCTCGAACAGCATCGCGTCCGCCTCCCGCGACCTCGACCTCATCGGCGGCCGGTGCCGCACCCCGAGGCGAGTCGAGACCTCGATGGCGCATGTCACACCGCGGACCAGAGCTCGATCTGCACGCACCGCCGGAGAAGCGACAGAAAGGCGCCGACGAGGAGATGGCCGACGCGCTGCTCGACAGCAACCACCTGGTCGACCTCTTCAAGGACAAGCTGGACATCACCCTCGGCATCGACGAACAGCAGACCGTCTACTTCGAGTACTTGCAGGACGAGAATACCACTCCAGACGGACGCCGAGGTTTGATGAGCCACATCCTGGACAGCTTCGTCGTCAACCAGCGCCGGAAGGACAAGGTGGAGCTGACCTGGTCCAAGATGAACGCCACCGAGCGTGAGGAGTTCGAGGCGGCCATCGCCAAGGAGACGAACAACTGGATCCAGCATCAGGGACTTCGCGCTGTCCCGATATCTCGGGTCAAGGACGCGGCGGACGTCATCCGGGCAAGGTGGCTCTTCACCCGCAAGTCCGATGGGAAGGCGAAGGCCCGGCTCGTCCTCCTCGGCTACCAGACGAAGGACCTAGGACAGGAGCCGACAGCCAGCCCCACCGCGTCTCGGCGCGCCCGTCACGTGATGCTAACAGTGGCCGCCGCGAACCGCTGGAAGCTCATCAAGGGCGACGTCACCTCCGCCTTTCTGCAGGCCCACGACCTCGACAAGGACCTCTTCATCGAGCCAGACGCCGTCCTCAGAAAGGCCTTCCACGTGCAGGAAGGGGAAATCCTCCAGGTCGTGAAACCTGGATATGGGATCGGCGAGGCGCCCCGGCACTGGTGGGAGACGGTCAAGCACGACTTTGCGAAACTCCGACTCCAAGCCTGCGAGTTGGAGCCCTGCCTCTGGAAGGCACGATGTTCCAGGACGGGCATGCTCATCGGTATGATCATGGCCCACGTCGACGACTTCATCATGGCAGGAGATACCTCCCACCCTGAGTGGCAGGACATGGTCAAGCAGATCCGAGGGCTCTACAAGTGGGGCACCTGGGAGGACATGAATGACGGGCTCACCTCTCTCGAACAGTGCGGCGTCACCCTCGAGGAGAGCGAGCAGGGCTTTTTCCTCCACCAGAAGTCGTACATCGACAAGATCAAGGAGGTCAAGGCGGCCAGCGGCAGTAAGCATCGGACCACCGACAGCCTCAAGGACTCTGACAAGACGGTGCTCAGGGCGTTCTGCGGCGAGATCTACTGGCTTGGCGTGAATACCATGCCATTTCTTTTATCGTGGGTAGCCGACCTCCAGATGAAGATACCAGCAGGTACCCACAACCTCTTCACGGCCGCTAACAACATCGTCAAGCTCGTCAAGCAGAGCCGCCACATGGGGATCAGGATCTACCGGCACGCCCTGGACGACCTCGCCATCTTCACCTGGTGCGACGCAGCCTGGGCCAGCCGCCCGGATGGACACTCCCAGGGTGGTCATATCACCGCTATCTCCTCCAAGGCGGCCATGGACGGGAAGCTCTCCGAGTTTACGGTCCTCGACTGGGGCTCCAAGAAGCTGCGCCGCGTGGCTCGGTCAAGCCTGGCGGCGGAGGTGCAGGAAGCCGGCGACGCCGAAGGCGAACAGAGCATGGTGCGACTGGTACTTGCCGAACTTCTACACAATATGTCTCCACTGCAAGATACCGCAGCAGCACTACGACGATTACCAGCCATCCTGGTGACGGACTGCAAGGCCTTCTACGACGGCGTGGTGCGATCTCAGTCGGCGGGACTGGGACTGGAAGAGCGGAGGACAGCCATCGAGGCTTTGGCTCTCCGCAATGCCTTGGACGAGGGTCAAACGGTCGTGCGCTGGGTTCACTCACACGCACAGATCGCCGACGGCCTCACCAAGGCAAGCTGGCAGGCATTCGGAGTGGTCCGGGCCTTCCTCGAGAAGCAGCAGTGGCGCCTCATCTACGACGAGCATTTCATGAGCGCTCGCAAGCGGGCAGCTCTTGGCAAGGGCATTTTCGACGAGACGGACCCGACCGACCCGGCCTCAGCTCGTCAGGTACTCGAGGAGCGTAGGTTGGCCCGCCAGGCACAACCACCAGCCAGCATGGAAGGGAACCCTTCCAGCTCGACGACCTCTACTGGGTTCTCGGCCTCCGAATCCCTGATCATGATCCAGAAGTTGCAGCAGGAGATCGAGGCCCATCAGAAGTTCGTCCAGCAGCACACTCGGAGCGCAGAGATTGCCTGCGCGCACGGTACAGGGCAGAACCTTTTTCCCCCTGTCTGAAAGATACGCAGGAGTAAGCTTGAGCAGCAGCTGTCTCCTGCCCGTCTGCCCTGCCCGTTCCACCGCCACCCTCGGCTCAAGGCGAGGGAGGGCGGGATTCTTTCTGACAGAGCCTGGCCGTGCCAGGCAGACCGCGCACACTACAGCGCGGCCGTTCATATCGTGGACAAAAGGTGTTCACTGACAATTATCGAGATAATTGACATCTACACACACTTTCTCTCGCTCTTCCTCATCGTCACCAGCGTGAGCGATCTTGAGGACGAGCTCTAGTAA